ATTTAACTAAATATTTTATTTAAAAAAATAATTAATAATCAATAATATAATAGATAGTAAGTTATTTTTATTATTTAATTATATTGTTTAATGTAATTTGAACTCAACTAAATTTTTTATTAAAATCAAAAAACTACTAAAGAGGGTAAGTTATTTTTCATTTATTATTAGTATTTAATTATACTTTTTATTGTAATTTAACTCAACTTAATTAATAATTATCATATAATAGATGGTAAGATATTTTTATTGATTATTAATAATTATACTTTTTACTATAATTTAAACTCAAATAAATTTTTTATTTAAATCAAAAATTACTAAAGATCGTAAGTTATTTTTATTAATTATAAGTATTTAATTATACTTTTTGCTGTAATTTAAACTCAACTAAAAATTTTTTATTTAAAATCAAAAAACTACTAAAGAGGGTAAGTTATTTTTATTGATTATTAGTATTATATTTTTTACTGTAATTTAAATTCAACTAAATTTTTTTATTTAAAATCAAAAAACTACTAAAGAATGTAAGTTATTTTTATTGATTATCAGTATTTAATTATACTTTTTACTATAATTTAAACTCAATTAACTTTTTTATTTAAAACCAAAAAACTATTAAAGTTGGTAAGTTATTTTTATTGATTATCAGTATTTAATTATACTTTTTATTATAATTTAAACTCAACTAAATTTTTTATTTAAAATCAAAAAACTACTAAAGTTGGTAAGTTATTTTTATTGATTATTAATATTTAATTATACTGTTTACTGTAATTTAAACTCAACTAAATTTTATATATAAAAAAATAATTAATATTTTAGATGGTAAGTTATTTTATTGATTATTGTATTTAATTATACTTTTTACTGCAATTTAAGTTCAACCAAAATTTTTATTTAAAAACAATTAATCTTTTAGATTGTAAGTTATATTTTTTGATTATTAGTATTTAATTATACTTTTTAATATAATTTAAATTCAATTAAATTTTTTATTTAAAATCAAAAAACTGCTAAAGGGGGTAAGTTATTTTTATTAAATATTATAAATATTAGTATTTAATTATAATTTATCTATAATTTAAACTTAAATTAATTTTTATTTAAAAAAATATTTAATAATTATAATAGATAGTAAGTTATTTTTAATTAATATGATTTAATCATATATTTAATTTATATATTTAATTTATTTAATATTAAATTAAATTTATTTATAAAAATTATTAAATATAATTAATATATATAAATTTAGTAAGTATATTTTTTTTTTACAATTTATAATTCAATTATAATATTAATATAAATTATTATTTAGAAAAATAGATATATGTATTACTTGTAATAAAAAAAATACTGGACATAAATGGTGTAATAAATGTAATTCTAAATTATTACAACAAAATTTTTCTAATTGGTCTAGTAAAAATTTATTAATTGATGAATTTATTCAAGATATTCAATTAAATGCTAAAAATAAAATGCAAATGTTAGAATGGATTTCTTATAAACAATTTACAAATATTAAGTATCTTGATAAAGGAGGATTTAGCACTATATATAGTGCTATTTAGAAAGATGGACTTATTATTTATTACTCATATAATAAAAAAATTGGATTAGAGAAAATAAAATAAAAGTATCTTTAAAATATCTTGATAATTCATCAAATTTAAATGAAGAATTTTTAAATGAGATATAACATTAATAATTATTTTAATTATAAATAACAAATTTTTTAATAAATTTTTATTATTTTAGTGGAAACATCATTATGAATATTATAGTCAATTATATAAATATTAAGATGAAAACCTTATTCAATTATATGGATTTACTCAAGATCCAAATACATTAAATTATATGGTAGTAATGAAATATGCGGAAAATAGTAATTTAAGAAAAAATTTATTAAATATTGTTAAGAATAGATGGATTATGAATTTGTTACAATTACATAATATTGTTAGTGGACTTAATGAAATACATAAAAAAAATCTTATTCATTGTGATTTTCATTATGGAAATATTTTAAATATCAGAAAAAATATTTTATCTATTAGTCATTTAGGATTATGTAGACTTATAGAATATTTTCAATCATCTAAAAGAAATGATATTTATGGTGTTTTACCATTTGTTACACCTAAAGTTTTAAGAGGTCAACCTTATACTTTAGCTAGTAATATATATAGTTTTTCTATGATTATGTGGGGATTAATATCTGGGGTTTTACCATTTAATGATGAAGCTCATGATTTTCAACTTGGTTTAAAAATTTGTAAAGGTAAATGACCTAAAGATATTTGGAATGCTCCACAATGTTATATAAATTTAATGAAAAGATGTTGGAATGAATGTCAATCAAAAAGACCAACTGCATTTGAAATTAAAAAAATTATTGAAAGTTGGTATAAAAATATTATTGTCAAAGATTTTGATAAAAATTTAATAAATGAAATTGTAGAGTTTTATAAAGCAGATAAAGTTTTAAATCAAAAGCAAATTAATAATACAGATAATGATAACATTTTCATGAAATCTCATTCACAAGCATATCATACAAGTCGTTTACTTGATTTTACTGAAAATTTAAATAAAATTTTAAATCTTGAAAATAAATATTTAGAAATTAGTCAAAAGATTGAAAATATTAGTAATTATTATAATATTTATAAATTTATTAAATAGATAAAATTTAATTATTATTTCAATTCTAATAGATATTTTAATTTAATAGAATTTTTAAATATTTCAAATGATTAATATGTATGTAATTTAAATTTTATTCTTATTAATTTTATAATTAATGTATTAATTAAATCTATTTATAAATATAAAGATTAAACTGCATGAATTATCTTAAGTAAATCACTAACTCAAATTATATTTGTTAAACTTGAATTTTAAGGTTTATAAATTGAGTTGACTGAGTATGTGTTAACTTTTTTTTAATTATTTTAATTATATTTTTTATAATTACAATGCTATTATTAATACTAGTAAACTTGAATCTTTTTTTATAAAAATATTATATTATTTTATATATTAAATTTATTTTAGAGTAACAAATTTTTATATAAAAATAAACTGTCATGTTCAAACTTCAAAGGATACTAAATGGTACTTATTATATTGTTGAAATTTTCAGAATAAATTAAATATTAATCAAAAAAAAATGCATTATGCATAATTAAAACTATAGAATATTTCATTATTCTACTAGGAACTAATTAAAAATTATATAATAAACTACTATTGTTCTTATAATCGTATAAAGCTTTAGTTTATATCGCATAGGTATTGCATATTTTTAACATCTGAGTTAATTTATATTAAAGCTCTGAACGGTTCAGAATAATCTGAAAAATTTTCGGATCAGTTCAGATCAGTTCGAATTTTTTTCGGATTATAATTTAATCTGAACTGAAAATATCTGAACTAAATGGATTCAATCTGACAATTTCGGATTGATCTGAAATATCAGTTAATAATAAATGTCTCTGAATTTTGAGGCAAGAAAATAATAGGTAAATGTCGCATCTGAATTGTCAGAAGTGATTTTTATTAGAAAAAAATACTAATAAAGTTGCCTTTGACAGTTCAGGTGTAACATTTATTATAAAAAATAGTCATACTGAACTGTTAGTACTAGAAAGATAATAATAACAGTCACATCCGAACTGTTGCAGATGACTATTATTGTAAAAAATAATGAAAAAGTTACCTCGAACAGTTCGAATGCAGCTTTTATTATTATTTTTTATAATAAAGTCACCTCCGACAGTTTGGATGTGACTTTATTAACATATTTTATATTAAAAGTCACCTTTGACAATTCAGATGCGCCTTTTAGTATTATCATTAATAATAAAGTCATCTCTGACACTTCAGGTTCAACTTTTCTAATAAAGTCGCATCCAAACTGTCACAGGCTTTTTTATATCATCTGAACTTTCAAAAGCGAATTTATTAACATTTTTTATATTTAAGTTACTTCCTTTAGTTTGGATATGACTTTTTCTAATTAAACTGCAACTGAACTTTTAAATGCAGCTTTTATTATCACATCCGAACTTTTGGAGGAACCTTTTATTAATACTTTTTATAATAAAAGTCACCAAATAGTTTGGATGTAACTATAATATCATTTTTTCTAATAAAAGTTACCTCCGAATTTTTGGAATGATTTTTATTAATCTGAAATTTCAGATTAATCTGAAAATTTTCAGATCGGTTCAGATTATTCAAAAGTTTCAGATCAATTCAGTTCGGATTAACATTTTTTGGATTTATTATCTGAATTGAACTGAACCAAAAATTCTGAATCAGATCAGATTGCCTCTAATCCGAACCGAACTGGGATTTTCAGAGCTTTAGTTTATATACAATAATATGAAGCAAAAATCTCTTTATTAATGGAGAGTCGATTGCTCTTAGACAAATTATTAGATTTTAATTAATTTAAAATAAAAAAAATTATCCTTAAAAATTTTTTTAAATTATTATTTTTATATAAATTAAAGAGATGTGATTGATGAATTTCAATAATTTAAAATTTTTAATAGTTTTCAAATTTGATTGTAATACTACAACAATCAGAATTATTATTATTTAATCATACAGTATATTTAATTTTAATTCAAAAAACTGTTATTTATTATTTTTAACTATCGAATTTTCTAAAATAATTTAACAAAATGTTTAAACTGAGTTTCCCGTCTAGAGTGACTCATTTAATCAATGATAAATAAAATATTTCAATCTTTTTATTTAAAACATTTTGAGAATGATAATGCTATATGATAAATAAACAAATTGTTTTATAATGTTTATAATGAATTATTCTATATTCTATATTTTTATCTAATATTCTATCAATTCTAAATTATATATAAGTGTAACAATAAATTTTAATAATTTTAAAATATTCTTCGAGACCATTGTTTTATATGGTATTTAACAAAATATGAAGGAATGTCAAATATCTCAGGTTGTCATCTTAAAGGTTCAATGAATACTGGCAAAACAGATAAATTAAGAATCAATAATAGAACTATTTTAAGAGCCTTTAATTTTTGAATTCTCATTTATATTTTTTTGACTAAAAATAGCCTTCCACAAAATGAATCTTATAACATGAATCATAAAGAAACAGGTGCGTACACTGTCCAAAGATCAAATTGTTCAATAATAAGGTATTTATACAATAAAGCACTAACAGCGTATGCACTTAATATATCAGCGAAGACATTTTTAACAGGCAAGAAACCTAATTCTTTGAAACTTTCATTGAGCATCAATTGCCAACGAGCAGACCAAAATTCATGAGAACTTGATGCCATCCATGGTAATGTTTATATTGAAAGAAATGTGATCATCTATTCTTTAGGAAGACGTACTTGGAAGGAGTGAGAAGGCCAGATTTAATTAAAATAGGTTTATAATAGATTTCTTTAGATGAGAAATGAAGGAATAAATGGTAAAGTTGTAATAATAGTGTATATATCGTAAGTATATATGAACATCATTAGGTATTCGCATAAAAGGAGAATTAAGTATTTTAATGCTAATAAGCGAAATTGGTATGGTTTCTCTGGGATTACCATTGTATATATTTTAGAGATAAAAATTGCAAGTTCAAGAATAAATCATTTTGTAACGGTAATTAGGTTATGATAAATTATTTTTTGTTAATCTGTGAAGTTGTAGGTAATGTAATAATCAAGGAATTTTCTTTTTAATTAGAAATTTCCATTTTAGGAGGAATTATGTAAGGGTTAAAGTGCGAATTAAATATTTTTCATAGCAATAACTTAAATTCTTCCTTTTGATTTGAACCTTCTTGATTCAAATATGATTGATTGCATTTTAAGAATAGAGTCAAATAATGCTCTATAAGTTACAAAAGCGTTGTGAAGTATAGGTGAATACAACAAATGAAAACTCATTGGAATTGAAATAAATATAAGAGCGAGAGATAATAAAGTCTAAAATCGTCTTTTGCCAGTAATGGTTCAAATGAATGTGATAAAACAATAATAATGGAGTTAAAAATATTGAAGAATATACAGAAGTAGGTAAATTTGGAGGAAATTCATGCCATGTAGATAATGGTGAATTAAATATGAAACTAAATGTATGAGCGGTCGTTACTGACAGTTTTATGTAAACCAGATTGATTTAATGAAAATGCGAGGTCGCGACATACTGAAATTTTAATGTCGATACTTTCTACAATACTAAAAGAATTAATTAGAAATATTATTACTTTATGTAAATAAAATTGAGGAAAGTTTTTTAAAAAAAAATATGGTATTTGAAAGATTTAAATGAATTATTGGAGAAACTTTGAATCCCATCGCTATATACTGAATATACATTTTTTTTTCATTGCTTATAAAAAGCTAGAATTTTGGAAAATCATTACAATGATATTTCTTACGCCAAGCATTTTATTATTTCGAGAAACTTGCTAAAAAAGGTTATTATAAGAATAAATACAGGTTCGCTAATTTTAGATTAAGGCGAATTTATGAATTACCTAAAATAATTAGCCAGGTATATTATGACAATCGATATTAGAATATAATGAAAATTTTTTATTGGAGATTCTCTTAAAGATGGCCTGTACAATTGTCGTAAAAAAAAATATTACATTTCCGGAATGAGCAAAATTAGAGGGAAAAGGTTAAGATGATGCAAGAAATTGGCAGTATTTAGTGAAATTACAATAACGCATTCAGTTGGTACGATTTACAAGGTTGTAAACATTAATTTCAAAATTTACTTTAATTCGCTAAAAATAGGGATAAGTCTAATTACCTATTAACTGGAGAGCATAAAAGTAGAGTTCAAATTTGATAATTTGATGACTTCTTTTAAATATTATACATCGCAGCTTATTTAGTTGATTGAGTTCAAACCTATTGAGTTTGTCTAGTTTAGATTCTAAACAATATTTGAACTAATACGATTAAATTTAATAGAAAAAGATTTTTATCTTTTTTATCTGTTTAATGATTCTTGCAATGATTTGTGCTCTAAATATTTTATCACCAACACTAACTTAGTTTGTAATATAATTGTTACTATGCGATTTTCGAAAATGATTTGTATTAATTACAAAATGCAATTGTTTTTCTAGATATGGATTTTTGTGCGAGGATTGTGCGAAATGTAAACAAAACAATTTTCAGCATAAAAGAAATGACGGATTTACGCTTTTCAGAATTAAGCAGTTATTATATATTCAAATCGGACATTGGAATCCTAATTTAAAAGGCAAATTAAAAAAATAAGGTTTGTTATTTTTTTTATTTTGATATGCTAAGGCCTTTAGAAATACAACAAACTCTATTAAGTCACTTTGAGACCAAAAAGTCATAATGCACTTATGCAGAAGAAAATCTAATTTCTTTTATCATCCCCCATTATTGTGGTTTCTACATTAATAGCTGTGCCAATTAAAAGTTTTGTCATTATTAAAGTACCCTAGAAATTTTTTTAAAAAAGCATTGTCCAGAAAAATATAAAAGTACGGCATGTGATTTTATGTATTGCAATAACGAAATTCTAATGTTAATTCGATGCTTTAATATTTTTGATAACAAAAAAATGATATAGAATTTTTATTATGGCGGAGAATTCCTCAATTCTAGGATAACTCGATGATCTTAGTAATAAACAACCTAACGTTAAGATTTTTAATTTTGACATCTCGATGAGTATCTTTTCTGCGGGTGTATAATAAGCGATCACGTTCTTTACTTAACAAAAAAATATTTACCTCAAAATAATGAAATTTTACATACTTAGGGGCAAAACAATAACCCCATTTTGGCAAAAGTCGAAAAACTTTTCGAAAATAATTTTGACCGTTTCGACGACTGTCGATGGTTGTAGGGTTTGTAATCGATTCTGTCAAAATATCCATCGAAAATCGAATAAAAAATTCGAATATATTTTAGTAGTGCAGTAAGTGCGGTATAATAATTGAGCAAAAATCAAACGATTCTTTGCTTATTTGAGAAGAAATGATAATAAAGTGAATGATCAAATGAAAAAAAAATTGATCGATAGTAAATAATCTTTTTTTTTAAAAAAAAAAAAGATGAAATATTAATTTAAAAGAAACATCGCATAACATCCAAGAATTTAATGATCAAAATAAACAAACAAATTTTAAAATTTAAAAAAAAATTTAAAAATGTTTCCGAAACAATCGCATTTTAATCTTACATTATCAAAAAAATAAAATTAAAATTTTAATAAAAATGCTCAGAGCACCTTTTCCTTGCAAACCTCCCATATATAAAAAAGATTAAAATCGATTAAATGAAACTAAATTCATCCTAATGCTAGTTCTGATTAAATTAATGATCAAAAAATCATTTGTTCATAAAAAAATTCGATTAGAATCGATTAATCGAAATCAAAAATCGAATCTTATAATCAAACTATCATTAGACCTTTGATATTAAAGTGAGATTTCACTTGGATGCATTTTTTAATACACCCCTTTGGAACATGATCTATTCTCAGGTCAGGTAGAGAATATATTTCGAAGATTTGGTGTGTAACTCGGATATTAAAAAAAAAATGCCATTAACGAATCGAATTACACTATTTATCTTTTTATTTTTATTTTTCATAATTTTTTATTAAATTAATAAATAAATTTGGGAAGTTTAGAAGGATTAAAAGGTAAAAATCATTAATCTTTATTATATATCAATGATAGTGTTAATGATTATAAATTATAATATTGAATATTTGAAACGTTCTCTAAGACATGCTATTATTCTTAAACTGGTAGTTTTTTTTTAATAATCTAACATGCAAAGTTATTTTAATTAAATACTTAATTAATATCAAAAGCAGATGTATTTAAGTAATTTTTTTTTTTTTTTGATTTGTAAAGAAATTTAAATTTTTGATAATTTGTTTCTGAAGCTTCTACTTTCTTTAATAATTTTTTTAAAAAAAAAATAAAATAAAAATTCGCATCCTACGAAGATACTCTCATATACTGTAAATTCAAAAAATCCTTCGATGCTTTTACTAAAATTTAAAAGTCTACTTCTTAAAGATAATTAAATAAAATTTTAAAATGCAAATGAAATAATATGATTTTATTTTCTTGATTTACTTCAGGTTACGGGTGGCTTGTCGGGATATTATCTTAATACTAATTAAAATTTTGAAAATTATTTTGTTACGATATCGACTTATATTTTTCTTCCGAAATAAGCAACAGGTGATACCTTCCTATTTTAGTAATTATTTATTCGTCATAAATATTTTTTGTCATATTTGATAATAAAATTATTGTATGTAGAGGAATTCACTAATTTGAATACCTTTCTTTAATTTGTATTTATACCTGTTTTTAACGTTTAAAAAGCAATCGCGAAATAGAATAAAAATAACTTTAGAATATATTTTATATATAAGATAAATGAAAGACCGGTCTTTTTGTACCTGACCAATCCAATCCTATTTTTTTTCTTTTTTTATGCATTGTTTCAGATTTTAAGATTCTGAATATAAAATGTGTGTACTTGGCGGGTTTCTCTTTTTAACTTAAGAAACGTTAACATTAATAGCATTCCTTTTTTTAGATGTCGGCAAGAATTTCTGTATTGTAAATAAAAGCCAAATAATATAATAAATATTTTTATATTATATTTAGAGAAACAGGAATGACTGATATTTTACGCATTTAACGTAGAGCGACTCTCAATATCCTAGTTTCATTAAATGAATGAAATTTAATAAGGCTATGTAACCTTAATAGGGATCAACAATCCCGTTTTCATATAAATTTCTTCAAATAGCGATCGGATAGCTATAAGATTTTTTAAACATGAGCATTCCAAATAATTTTTTTCAAGTTTCGAGCAAAGACTCTTTTCGTTTTTTTCAAGAATATTCCTATCTAGAAAAAAGCTTTATCGTATCATGTATCTTCAACTTTCTTGCAAATAGTATTATTTCTTCACATGTTACTTATATAATGAAACCATATACACGATCTACAATGATAGCAGTTGGGCTTTTTCTCATTATTTCAGTAGTCTCTTCAATCATTACTGTATGAGTATTAAAATATGATGAATAATTAAAGTTTAAACAAGTGATATTTTTTTTTAATATAATATTTTTATCATTATTATTTTTTTTAGGTTAAGCAGAAATCAGTACTACATGGAATTGTATTTTGTTTATATAATGCAATTCTCATATTGGAAAATATATCTTGGTTTCAAATCAAAAAATGTCAATTTACAAATTGTGCATTAATGGAACAATACGATGATTCTTTGTTTTCTGTCATACATTCTGAACTCATCACTTTATATTTTTTATCAGTTGTATTTGAATTTACCATTATTATATTGGTATTTTTACTTTGGAAAAATAAGTAAGTTTTTAATGAAAATCGTATTAGCATGAATTATAATCACAAAATAAGAAATAACATTTTTAATTCTGATATTAGAACTTGGCCGGTTGTAAAAGATTTTAAAATCACAAGACATCAACACATCAAAAGTAAGCAATTGTTTTGAATTCGTTTGATTTATATTAATAACTCTTTCATTACATTTTCAATATGTTTAGGAATGTATTTAACATACCAAATCCAACTAGCTATTGTACATGTTCAATGCGTAATTACATTTTTATTAGCAACTTCAATTTGGATGACGGAATTTTTAGGAATTCATATCATGATAATTGCTTATGGAGCTGAAATAAAGGATTTATTTATTAATTTCTTTCTAGCTTACTTTATTTTTCAATTTTACATTTTATTGGTGATTAAAGCAGTTGAGTATCACTAATAATTTTCAAAAAGGTTCTACAAAGGTGTTATTCTAATTATTCTAATGATGATTTTATTTTATTTTTTAGATCAGAAATGAATCACACCTTTTAATGGGTATTGTGTATGCTTGTAATGTCTGCGAAGTATTAGCTATTTTCTTAAAAGTCTATAATTGGTGCCCAATTGACCAATTTAATGATAGTAGATCGAGATGTGCATTTTGGTACTTAGTTAAAAATAATAGTTTGTATAGAAACATTTTTCTTTCCTGTAAGTTATAAGTTTTTATTGTATACTAATTAAAAAAGTAATTGCATATTAAAAGATATTTCATGTTTCATACAGCTATCGCGGTCTTAATTATAATTTTTATTCAAAATATTAATACTATAAGATGTCATTGTAATTTTGGAAATAACCTTGGATTTTATTGTAAGTTGAACCATATATTTCATTTTTTTTTTATTTTAAAAAAAAAAATAAATCTTTTTTTTTTTCAGTGAAATATCATAACGATAAATCACACGAATTCGAATACAGCGATGATCTACCTTCATGTGTAAAAAGTTCCAATGGATCGGTTTAATATTTAAGTCATATGATTAATATTTTAAATTTTGATCTCTTAAGGATTTATTTGATAATTTTTGAATAAATTGTCATGTTTAGTATTTAATTCCTTTTTTTTTTAAAAAAAAAAAAATGAATTGTGAATAATGAATGTGAAGTAGAATTTTCATAATAAAACATTAGTAAAATATTATTATACTTGCCAAAAATTATGATATATTAAAGCTGAAAATGATGTAAAATTCAGCTTAATTCAATTTATTTAAATGATGTTGAAAAAACATGATTGTAAAATTTTCAGTAAATTTACATTCAAGTGTGTTATACTAATTTTAGTTCAGAAAATCGTGAAGCACCTTATTTCTGGAAGTCCTGATATTTGAATGATTTTTATTATTAAAGTATAACGCGCACTCAAGCAAGAGACAATCCAATTGATGAATATTTCTTCACCAAAGCTCATTTTGATAATTTTTTTTACCACAGATAGTTTAAACTCTTTCACTCGCAATATGTGATGGCCAATTCGTCTGAAATCAGTGAGACGGACGAAGGATGAACGAAAGTCCCATCATCGCTATATACGATCTCTAGGACGATCGGTCGATAAGCTAAAGGAGAAAAACAAAAGGAAATAAAATAAAGGTTTTAACATTCCTCTATAGGGTTCGGAATCGAAAGTCGGAAAATTTCCAAAGTCGAAAGTCGATTGTAATAACGATTTTGAATCTCAAACTCCGAGTTAACTCAGAATTCTGAAATTCATTTTAGTGTATCAAGACCTTTAAACAATTAAAAAGTGGATCAAATAAATTTAATTGAGTGTATATTTGAATTGTAACTTTAAAAAAAAAAATGTTTTAAAATCGAAAAATAAATTCCCAACAAGCATGTCTCGTGATAGACAAATTTTGTGAAACATAATTTTTAATTAATTTATTTTTAAACATCTTAGCTTTTTATTTCTAACAAAAAATATTATAAATGAAGCTTTGAAATTGTTTTTATAAATTTTTACAACTGTTCTATACTTTAAAAAAACAACGTTTTTGCCGATTTTTGATTTTCAAAACTGGAATCGAAAATCATTTTAGTCATTTGATTTTCGATTTTGATTTTTAAACGATTCTAATCCATTTTCCTCTAGAGCCAGGCTATTATAGTAAAATACAAGATGATGTTGCAGTTCATAAAGGCTGGCTCATAATAAAAAGCAAACCTAATGAACGCTCTTTCATAATCTTTTCTATTTTTCTATTCGCTTCAGGATTCTGTTTCTGCCTTGTCTTTTATTTTTTTTTTAATGTTATCAAATCGTTTTCTTTTTCATCGCTAATATCCGCGCACTTTCTTGTTACACAAAAATTCATTTGTATATACTCCATTGCAAAAAATCTTTTCGACATTCTTCATGGTATGGATTCGTAGAAATGACATCTATTGCATAGCATGCGAATCCCATTGCTCCAAGTTTTTATAAAGTTTGCAGCAGGTCATTCAATTTGGAAAATAATTTACTTTAATTTGCGAATATAAAAAATATTCCAAATGAATTTTCAATTTAGGAGATCAAAGGCGTTCTCAAAAATCATTTTTTTTTGATAGGCTGATTGGCTAAAATTTTCATTGGTATAAATTAAAAAACATTATGGATCTTCAACGGGACCATCACCATCATAAGTCGATCACAAAACTCTTATAGCAAATAAAAGACGTCAGGATGTTCAAATGCAAAAAAAATAAACTATTCCGTTTATTCTTTGAAGGGTTTGAGAACGATATCTATAAATGTTTTGAATTTTAAATTATCCATTCAAAAAAGTTACATAAATATTAAATAATTATTTACTGATGATTCTCTGTTATTTTATTTTAAAGGGTTGAAACGATCAATAACCTGTTATATTGGTAAAAAGAGCTGGATCTAGTGTTCTGCGATCAATTTTGATATTTTTTTATTAAGACATAAAGATAAAAAGAAATCGATCACCATTTATATTTAAATTGATCGTAAAGCCTTGAGCATCACCTCAATCACTAGCCGATCACATTGAGAAAGGTGCTTGATAATGACCCAAGTTACTTTACCCCGTTTAGCATCAGAAGTAATGAGTCAGCTAATTTTAGATTTAATATACCTGATAAAATTCATCCGGGTAAACCTGATGTCGTTACCTTCAAGTGAACGGTTGTGATTTTTTTATATGAATCCAAACTGTAACAATAAAATGAAAAAATGTAAAATCCTCGATTTTACATAATAAATAAATAATTACAATTGGTACAATTGGATGGCAAAGTTTTATACAGTATTTCAATTATTTATTTTGGTCTTGAATTTTTGTGTTACTTGAAAGCTTGTACTCCATTTCCAAATCAGAACATTCAATAATTAATAATAAAATTCACGTAATCAGATCACTAGTTTATTGATACTTCCCTTTCGGTTATAGAACACTTTACATCATACTAGGAATATTTGGAAATTCGCGATTAAATAATTGAGGTGCGAAATAAAATAAAACTTCATTGCCTTACCAAAGCTGTTTCCGGAGTTTAAGAAAGGTCTGAAAAAAGGTACTTTTTAAATTAAGGTTGAAATCCTATAACCAAAATTAAAATTCTTCTGCCAATTTTTTTTTATTTTGGAAAAATTAATTATTTTCTTATTAGAATTTCTTTGAAACATTATGAATTCATCGTTTCAATTTTAATTTGTAAATTGTCATAATAAATTCGGATTCTATTATGCTTTTACCGGTTAATTTTAACGAAACCTTGAAAACGAATAAATCTCTAATAATTTTCGGTCAAATGGCTTTCGGTCAAAACGTCCGGATACGTTTTCATATCGATATCATAATAAGAATAAGATCACGAAATATTTTAGAAAAAATTTATCCAAGTTTTATTTATAGCCGAAAATAATTATAAGTTCTAATTTATTATAAGAGAAAATACAAGTACGATATGTAACAATACAATAAAGAAAATTAATTCTAACATTCATTACCAAGAATAATGTTCTTCGGTTTTAAATTTTTTTATAATTCCATTAGTTTCATATCTTCTTATTAAGTCTCTAATAGAAGGTTTAATTTCCACCCTATATGCTCTACGAAGGGTTAATGAAATTGTTTTAGGTGAGATGTAATTATGCAAACTCTTTAGCGCATTGTCCAATTCACCCAACAATAGCTCTGATTGATTTGGAATTTTAGTACATATGGTTAGTTTAATATGATTTTTAGGCATTGACCTTCCAACAAACTTAATTATCTGGCTCTCATTGAACTGATTATTCTTGCAAGTGACCGTTATACTTTCCAAATTACGGCAATTATCAAATGTGTTCTCCAGTAATTCTCTGCTATTTCTAACTTTACCATAAACTTTTAATTTTGGGCAAAATCGAGGAATAGCAAAATCCAATTCATCATTATTTGAATCAATCTCCAGAGTCTCCAAATTTTTCCCATTGATTTCAAAAAATTTCATCAAACATTCCTCTTTAGGTATAATAAATCTTAAACTTAAAAACCTTAAATGAGGAAAATAGACATGTTGCAATTCATTGAAATCATCAAAGTAATCATGAAATGTGCATAGCGTTAATTCAGTTAAATTCTGGAAATTACGTAGGAATCTGATTGATGATTTATATCCTTTAAAGGACAGATTTACTATTGTTATAGTATTTCGATGGGTAGGATGATTTTCCATCGAATCGGCTATGACCGGCCAATTAGTCGATTTTTCTTCCCGTTGTATGTTTATATCCTTTAGATTATTCTGCGCGTTTATAGTATCCATTAAACCATCCGAAAATTCTTTTTGCATATACAATGTAATTGCTTCCAACCTTTTACATGATACAATCGTTTGAAAAAACCTTGGATCCTGATCCGTACAACAAGCTAATGTCGTAACATTCATTAGGGTATTAACTGCTCCAGGAAATGAACCAAAGTCAACATGTGGAGTATCATCTTCATCGATTTGTGTATAGAAATTAAGCTTCCTTATCGGAGCATTCCTCATTAATAATTTTAAAGTTTCTCGATAAATAACTTCTTTATAAGTTTGAAATTGTTCTTGATCATCGTTAACGGTGTTCTCGGGATCATATCTTATGATGATTCGTCGAATAAGTTCATTAAGATAATTGATATTAAATACTTGAATACATGAAGCATAATTATAGGAGGGTGTGACAAATTCTGTTTCTGGTATGAAGGTTACATTATCCCTTATTATCTGTTTCGATTCTTCGGGAATACAAGCCAACAAAGGAGGAAATTTATAAGTAAATTCAGACCAAAAAATTTTGACACCTATTTCAAACCACTGACGATTCACTAGCATGCATGAGAGCAAATTTAATCTATCTTTATCTTTAACGTGATCATATTTTTTCTTGATATGAAAGTATCTGAAAATATGATCTAGAATGAAGGTTGAAAGTCGGTGGACCATTGTAAATAAAACGTAGGGGATGTGAAGGTAATGGGAAATTTATAGAAATAATTGAATTTTTGGAAGTTTTAATTCTATTTTTTTTTTTTTTTTTTTTTGAAATTTTTGAAATTTTTGAAAACAAAAGAAACCCAAAGTTTAAATATTGAGAAAAAAATGTTTCCACCCCCCAAAAAAATATTGTAAAATATGGAAATTCATTGATGAGAGGGTTGATAAACTAGATTTTCCGTGATTAGCAAATCATATCCATTAATAGTCGACGAAAAAGGTAAAAAAAAGTCTTGTGAAAAGATTTGAAGTTTGTGTAAGGTAATTTTATGATTGAGAACATCAAGTCATTGGACAATTCTAATAAAATTATGCATAATCACACATAACGAAGACAATATTAATCATTTTATCGATCAACATTTCCTGTTATAAACCGGTATACTGCCTCAGCCCTCATATCAAAATATCAATATGGTAATATCTTTGACAAAAACGTTCAAGGTTCTTTTTTTTAATAAAAAACTTTTTGCGCCCATAATACCAAATATTTAGCAAAAGTTTCACACAATTTTTTAAATGTTTCATTTCGAAACAATTGAAACAAGCAAATATTCCAAATACAACAAGGCTGGGAACAGGTTTTGAACCAATTGAAATAAACAAATCTGAAATTATATATTTTTAATATGGATTTTGATTTCCACTATTCCGATTATGCATTTATTATTATTTGTGTAATTTACCTTCCTATTATTTAATATGATGAATAATACTAATACTAATATGTTCAATGTACAGAGAACCGACCTAATAATTATATACTAATTTTCTAATTTTAACGGACCAACCTCTGATGTAATTGATAACTAAAAAATTTCGGGATACTTTCAAACAATTTAATACTCCATGAAATACCTGGTAGGGATTGGAATCGATTTAATCGAACCTCCAAAATTTTTTTTCATGGGTTCAACACCAGTTTCTAATTTTAGCAAAATAATCAACACTTAGGCAGCATTGAAAAATACTTTGGAGTTAGATGAATTAATATGTAAACAATAAAAAGATTCGATTCATTTTACTATATTGAATCGATTTTTCGCCAATCCCTAATATCTGGTCGAGTATATTTGAACGATGACCTTCTATTAAAATATCATATGTCTCGTAACCTGATTGGATGTTTGTTTTTATAAGTTATATAAAAAGAATTAAAACATATCCTAGATGGGAGATTTTCACTGGCTGGAAAAACTACATATATACAAATAAGGTTAAAGTCGTGATATAAAAAGGAAAGTACTTATATGATCACCTGATCATCCTATATTTTTTTAGAAAATAACTTTTTAGGTCTCGCCGCAATATTAAAATAATACAGGCTATGGGATTATTTTCAAACGAAGACAATAGAAACTTTATTTATAATCAAATATTATACTTTAAATAAAAAATGATTATTTATAATATTCTTAAAAATTCGAGTCAATTCGAGTCTACCATAATTGAGTCATGTCAAATTCGAGTTCTGAAATATTGACATGTTCAATTTGAACCGGACCCAATTTGCCCCTCACAGAGCACTAGATACAATATTACCCATACCGACCGGAAAGACGTGATTGAATTTGTCTTTATTAGTATTTTTCCCCGCTTCATCTAAATAACTAGTCTAATTCAATTTTATCTTCAATTGGTTCATTTGCGTTGACATCAAAAAATTAATTCAATAAAATTTTTTTAAATCATCAACTAAATTTTCATATTCTCACTATTCTCACTATTTTATATATTAAACCGAATCTCTACCAAATATAAATAGAAAAATGAATTAATGAATTAAAAAACATGATTTATATCAATGTTTAAAAAATAATATTCAACTACAACCTATTTCTAAACTTAGCCTTACATTATGGACCATCGCCAGCAATTTACTATATTATTCTTATTATTTCAAACCATTATAGCAAATTTAAGGGTTCGGAATATTCAGACAAGGAATATTCTATATTTATCACCTTTTATCCATTAATTATGCCGTAAAGAATACAACAATTCCACTAATCCTTCTTCCATCAACCTAATACTAAAGGGTTTTTGACAGATGTTATCCAATGTCTTTTTTTATTAATTTTATTTTTTTATTAACCAGATAGAAAAATGTAAAGAGATTGCGTAAGCATTGATCGTGACTATCAAGTTAGATATTAAATTTGAGTTTCACAGAAATGTCTATCAAAGAAATATACCGTCACAGAAATGTCTATACTTTTGCCTATTCTTTCGGCAAGAATTTTTCCGATATCTTACTGCGCATTTCAGATGATCGATTCATATGATATTATGGATATTATCCGGGTCTCCTTAATATGATTGCACCACATCGAGATTCCGTATTCTTTGATATTATCGCAAAATCAAATAATATATTTCACTGCCTTAATTATCGACCAACCAGTGACCTTCCAGATACATATCTTATCATAAATACAATAACAACTAGTGCGAAGTTCTAGACACAAAGTAGTTAAATATTTAAATATTTAATAAGTTAATGTTGCCAAAAAAAAAAAATCTTTTATTAACCACTTTGTCGAAGAGATGATTAGTTTTTAATCGCATATTTTATTTTTTAAAGCAAATACATTTGAGATTACAAGAATAGCACAATAACTATCTAGCCCAATATGATCAAATTCCTTTATTATTGACGCTTTTTTTGGTTCTTATTCTTCCCTTTTTTCTTGCTTTTTTTCTGGGTGAGAATTGCATTCATCTGGCGAATCTAAATCTAAAAGAAAAGAAATTAGTTATATTAAGACAAAGAACAAGCAAATATGCGTAAATACCAGTTAGCTCCCACACAGTTCCGTCTAATGAAACGCCCCATGGCACTGGTTCCTTTGCATTGAAAAGATTCCCGAAAAACCATAATATATCAGTCATAGCGTCCCATCTGAATACATGTTCATAGCAATCCAGAAAATGTAAGTCACAGTAACAACACCCAATAATAATTATATGATTGAAACCGCATTTTGCAATATTCTTTATGTCTTGATAAATATTATTTTTTTGAAGATCACCGCTTAGTATCTCTATATTAAGAGATTTTGCAATACGACAACGGTCGGATTCATCCTTGATCATTTCAACTGCCAAGATTGGATTATTGCCAGATGAGTCGAACCTATTATCGCACGACAAAGGAGACATAGAGCCTTCAAATCACCTTTTAGGCGTATTGTCCGGGAGTACAAAGTAGCACGGTGTTTTCAGATAGTCTTCTTTCCATGAAGAACCCTCCATGGTACCGACTCTGAACAATGGCCCCAGGATTGTAAGCAAATTTTCAATTTTTTCTCTGTTTGGACATTTAAATACATCGTTTTCATTACTTTTACTCTCACTTTCGCTGCTAATTCGTTCGTTTTGTATGCCTGTGTTCTCTCTACTTTTGCTCCTCCGCTCTTTCCACGAATTGATACCCCGAGAAAGTAATTCTTGACATTGTTAGCCGGAAGGCTGGAAATAAAACTTAAACGATATAATTCAGTCTGTCGAATTAATCACAATAACTTTATCACAATCACGCCTGTATGAAGACACAGCAAAAGGTAATAGTAAATGAATAACAAATATCTTTAT